ACAAATATAGAATTTCTAACAAAGTCAATGCAGTCGGTCTGGCTAATCTCATTTATTACTAGGGATATGCAAAATTGAACCATTTGGAAACAAATTTTTCCAGGGCAATCCATCTTGTTTCAAGTATCTCCCACAAATATTGGTTCAGAGTATTCCAGATGTGGGGTTGCAAAACACCTCTTTTGAATGCTTTGCACAACCCTTATAGAATTCTGGAGCTGAGGTCTACACATTTGGAGGACGCCCAGATTTAGGGAGACTTTAATACATAAAAGTTAAGTGATTCTTCATGACTCTTCCAAAAGAATGAAGCGTTGTAAGATAAGACACATATTTATAAGCATACACAGGAAAGAGTGCATTTTTCAAACTTTTGTCCTTAAATATCTTATGTTCTTTGCTTTCTTTTTTAAATGGAATGTGACTCTGCAGACAGTAATGTTCTCTATATCATATTACACTGAGTGAAAGATATGCCTTTTTAAAATTATGAGCCAAATCTTATCTTGGAAATATATCATTTTTAACAAAATAAAAAAAATCTATTTCTATGCAATTTAGAAGGATTTTTTGAAATACAGGACATCTCAAACACGTTTTAAAACAACAGAGGTTCAAAAATGGGCTTTTATGTGAAAGAACCAATAGTACATTATTGTAGTTTTTTGTTATGCTATAAGATAACTAAGTAGAAAAAGTCCAAATTCAGTAAGAAATAAGAGTATATGATTTTGTTAGATTAGATTATTAGTTTTTTCAGGAAAGATAATTTTGAAGCACTAGCAATGTGGTAATATTCAAAGGAACATGGAATAGGCTATTGGATTTTCTGTGGAAATCTAAAATTTGGAGCCCAGAAGATTGTACTGGAAATGGAGTGTGCCTTCAAATATGTATAGAAACATACTTGAAGAGGAGTGAGCCAGCTTTAGAGAAGGCCGATCCATCTTTGATCAGTGCCTAGTATGCTTAGAAATATGTGTCTTAACTTACAACCCTTTGGAAGATTCATGAAGAGTCACTTAATTTTTATGTACTAAAGTCTCCCTAAATCTGGGTGTCCTCCAGATGTGTAGATCTCAGCTCCATAATTCCTAGCTATAAGGGTTGTGCAAAGAATTCAACATCTCATTGAAAATACTCCCCCCACAACACAACCTCCCTTTATGCTGCTTTCATAGACTTCAAAGCAGCTTTTGATTCCATATGCTGAGCTAAACTATGAGAAAATCTGGAGGTCTCCTCAGTTGACTGATGTTTACTTCATTTAATATGTATGCTTCATGAAGAGACCTCACTCAAAGTAACGTAACCCCCAGGGCCATCTCACCAATGCCATTGGTACCGAGAATGGCATCAAGCAAGGTTGCCTATTGGCCCCGCTCTTATCCAATTTCTATATCAGCTCCATGGTGGGCCATGTCAGCACAAACTCTCACTCTCCAAAACTTGCTGGAAGACATATCTCTGTTCTACTCTATGCAAATGATGCAGCAATGCTGTCAAGAACACCTGTTGGCCTTTAAAAAGCATGAGAGCATTAACACAGTACTGCAAGAAACACAGTACTGCAAGGAATACTAATGCCAAATACTAACCTTTGTGCCCCCCTACACCCATCAAATGCTCCTACCCCTCCTTTTAGATTCCTTTTTATTATTATTATTATTATTATTATTATTATTATTATTATTATTTTCTATGCTTTATAATTGATTATAGCCCACCCTCCTTATTCTGGTCTTTGACCATAATAAAGATCTGATTTGAAATATATATATGCTTGTCATCTATCTAGTTGTGTTCCAATGTAGTCTTATCCAATTTACTAAAAATATATCACAATATTTTCCAAAGTTCATATTTGATTTACAGGATTAACATCTTATTTGAGTCTTTTGAAAGCCTACATGGAGAGGTCAACCACCTCTCTTTATTTTTATGTATGAACCCAAAAAGCAAGCTGAAGAATCTGAAACAATATGTTCACATTATAAAAGGAATATCTTATTTTTCAGAAAAGACTGAATAAAAGATCATGGATCTGCAACGTGAGTAACATACTTGTGTGTATCTATGTGTGTGTGAGAGAATGTTATTGAAAGTTGAAGGGTGCTCAGCTTTACAAGTGAATATGAACAACAGTTTTATTTCTGCAGTAAAAATGGAGATATTTGCAGATGCACTGCACAGTTTTCAGACTGGAAAAGTAATTTTGTTACCTGAGATGGAACAGAATATGGCGTCTTCTTCTGCCATTCAGCGAACAAACAGATTTTGAATTGATTTTCTTAAAAAAAGGTCCATAAAGGGAAAAACAAACCAGCATCCATTTTCATGTGCATTTCTGCTATTGGTTGAGCTTTTGTATATAACCTTTCCCTAATGTATACAATTTTAATGTAAATTCCCTGAGATATTTTAAGCACCAATTTCCTTGAATTTCTTTGTTCAGTCTTCTTAAAATAAATATTGTTATAGATTTTCTCAACGTAAGCTCTCTTTTTTTGTAGAGAAAAAGAAAGAAAACTACCCCTTTTACATATACAACTTGTAGAAATCATTTCTTTGTTTTATGTTTGTAAGACACATTTCTTATAAACAAGTAAAGTTTATAAAAAAGTTCCACGGTGATATCTGTTTTGCTGGATTCTGATTTTCTCTTGCAAATCATCTGCTCCAACTGAAATCCTTTTCAGACCCTTTTTTCATATCTAACAGATTAAATCCAAAGCCAGGCAAGGTTGAGGCAGAAATCCCACAAATATCTCAGTTCATCTCCAATAATAAAAATACAATAACAAAGGAAATCGCTGTACTTTTATTACAACCAAAACCTGTGGGTTTACTCTGCCTAATGGTAATGCCAACCCATATAGATTCAATGCTACAGATAAATCTTAAGAGAGTAAAGACCTTCTCTGATGTGTTTCTTTTCTCTGACTCCTTGGGCTCTTTTTTTCTTTTTTCTTTTCCTTTTTGGGAATGTGGGAAAAGTAAACTCACATGACTGTAAGGCTTTTAAGATTATCCATAAGATGAGGTTTGCTTTATTTAATAAATTGTGGATCTTGATCTGTTCTCTGCCAGTTTTATAATGTGTCGGATTGCTTGCTCTTTAATAAGCACCTGAGTGCCTGCTCGTGCTTCTCCTCAAAGGAAAAGTTTTTGTTTCCTCCAAGTACCAATTGTAGAGGAGGAATGATAGAACATCTGCCTTTCCCACTTGCATGCATTACAGAAGTATATGGCTTGACCTTTGTGAGAAGTAAATTTTGGAATGAAGACCTTGGTCTGCTTTAGTAAGCTACTCTTATATTTATGCTCATAATCTATTCTTATGCTCTCCAATAGAAGAGAATATCTGTAGCTCAGGGTTGAACTGTGGAGTCCTTGGTGCTCTCTGAGCTTGGTTGTTTGTTTGCAGATGTTTCATTACCCATCTAGGTAACATCATCTTACGCTCTTAAATCCGTTACATTCGAAAATAATAAATGAAGTGTTGGATAAAAAAGCATTAAAGATAGAAACATATATCTTATAGCATCTTAGGAAGAATCCAATTTTTTATGGCATCAGATGTTGTGAATCAAGACTCCGTAAGATATATAAAGTTTTCTAAATTGATATTGAATGTGCAAAACTACAAATAGTTACCGGTCTCGTACTTCACCTAGCTGAGATTTTACTGCTTCATTTCATTCTCCCTTTTTGCAATCATGTGCATATATACTTAGCAATTTATAATAACTTTCTGGCATCTGATGTAACAGATATCTGTGAACATTGCTGTCCTAATAAATGGATGAGTCTTCCAAGATCCACTAAGATTCTATGCAGCCTATATAGAATTTTTGCTACAAGAGACCAATACAACTATCCCTTGGGATCTTTTCTAAGTCATAAGCCTTTTCCAAAAAAATTGTGTTTTAATTCTATGACAATTGGGAATTCTATAGCTAAAATATAAAGGGAGTTTATATTTCCCATTGTTTTGTCATTTCCAAATGGAAATGGTAATTTATTATACTGAACAAATGCTGAACAAATTTATACACCATATTAGCAAATAAAAACACAGTCCATTCTATAGGTAGTCCCTGTTGAACGACCACTTGTTCAGTGACCATTGAAAGTTACGACAGCACTGATGATGGGGACTTATGATGAGTCCTCATAGTTATGGCTGTCACAGCATCCCCATGGTTGCATGATTGCAATTTGGGCACCTGGCAACTGGCTCTCAATTATGATGTTGCAGTGTCCCACGGTCACACGATCACCATTTGCAACTTTCACTGGCAGCTTCCAGTTAGTAAAGTCAATGGGGAAGCTGGCAGGAGGTCACAAATGACAATCACGTGGCTGCGGGATGCTGCAACAGCGCAGGATTCTCCTAACAACAGCAACTGGAACTGCCACAACGGCCACTGTAAGTCAATGCAGTCTTGTAACATCATGCTTTATGAGCGCAACACTTAACAATGGACTTGCCAGTTCCCATTACCATTGTTAAGCGAGGACTACCTGTAATATGAATAATGCAATGAATTAGAATGTTTAAAAGAAGCTATTTATATGTAAGATTTTTCACTGATAAACAGTTGCATTTTAATGTAATGTCCTGTAATATATATGTTTTGATTTCATTTCTATATATACAAGAATGGATTCATAAGAAAAAACCCTTAAAACACTGACAGGATTCAGGCTACTACACATGCACATGTAGGAAGGTAGGGCATATATGTAATTTATGTAATTTATGTAGGAGATAAATGTAATAGAGCATATTGGTGTGCCTATCTCTTGTTCCAGCAAAGGAAACTAATCCCACACCACCACCTCCAGAATATTCAGGTCCAGTTTATCCACCTCCGCAAGCCCAATATGGATATCCTCAGTATGGACCTGCTGTTCCAGGTAATAGGAATCTTTATTATGGTCACTGGTCAGAATTCGGTGAGTTAACGAAAATAAAATAACAGATCAGAACAGTTTTCTATTTCAAAACAACATAAAATTATAAGATGTCATTAAGGTGATCAGAGTATTGTCCTGATCTTATTTGTCCTATACTGTCTAATTTTACAGAATTTAATCATATTTCAAAGAAACCAAATTGTACTGGTCTGAGCTATTTCAGGAAGGTAGCTGGGGTTGTATGTTGTCTCATTCTGTTGTAACTGATGTGTATAATCAGGGCATACGGAGTGTAGTTTATATAAAATAAATTTACATTCTGTCTTTCTTCCAAGTTTTTCCCGTCACCATTTTACCCTCATTACAAGCCTTTGAGACTGTAGGCTGAGAGATAATTATTGGTCCAAGGGGACCTAGTTGAATGGATGGTTTTCTTGTTTAGCGATGTCTCCCAGTATTATTGCAGGATTGGGACATTTATTTATTTATTTATTTATTTGTCTGTTTATTTATTTATTTATTTAAATTAATCCTGTCTGATTCTGGGCACAATACTCCACACAATATCAAAACAATATAAGAAGCAACAAACAAACCAAACTAGAACAGATAAAAAAGAAAGAACAACAAGATAGTGAACCCATCAGATACCCTAATACATCCCACCAACATCTAACATCCAGGGGAGGGGTGCTCCAGACACCCGAGCCAGACTCTTGATCTGTTAAGAATTGTAGAAACACTTTTTACCCAATAGATCCATGTTAAGCTACACCTTTAGACTTAAAATAGTGACAGATCTCCACCCCCAGAAAGTATTAAACTTTCTTAATTAAAACTTATAGTCACAAACAGTAGGGGTGCACTGCATTTCAGATCTTCAGAGCAGGGGTGGGCACAGATGTTACAGCTGTAGGGTTCTACTTAAAGAAGCTGTGTCTTTTCCTGGGCTCATGCAATAGCCACATCCTAGGAAAATGAGAGTTTGAGTTAAGGAGGCCCCAACAGGGATTGACAAGGTACTTCAGAGCAGGCATGGGTCCATGGTAAGAACCTCCTCATCTCAAATGCATTTTCCTGGGATTGGGCAGCTACTGTGTGAACCCAGGAAAAACACAACTACTTTAAGGAAGTGACAAAAGGAATAGTCTGTTTGTCAACCTGCACTTCAAAGAACCTTGTCTCAGGGGCACGATGAATACGCTCATCTGCAACTCTATAAAATAGCTGAATTGTGATCCCAGGAAAAGACATAGTTGCTTTAAGGCATTGCATATAGGTGCTATGTTCACACTCCTACATGCTCCAAAACATCTTTTGGGAATTGAATTCAAAGCATTGCACGGCTCTATTAATTAAACTCCGAGTGACTTTCAAATGTTCCTGCTGGTGCCATTACCTGGCTGACTTCTTCTGGACTTGGAAGCTAAGCAGACTCATGCCTAGATAGTATTTGAATGGGACCCTACATGGGAATATCAGAGTTGCATGCTAGACTAGGAAGGGAAAAGACACAAAGGAAAACTATCACGGGAGAAGGCAATGGCAAACGACTTCCATATTGCTGCCAAGTAAATGTCATGGTTATGTCCATGAAGTCACTAGAAATGAAGCTCAACTTCATGGCATCTGCATTATTTAAATTAAAACCCTAAAGAGTTTGACCTTTTGGAGATCTCCAGTACGCATGACAACAATGAGGTAGCACTCATTGGTGAAAACATTTGTTGCATGAGAAGAGTTATGTTGAATTTTCCTTTCAAACTGCATCAACTAAGTCCTTTGCACCCTCTAGTGGATATTTAGCCCTTTACTGAAATAAAGGTATGTGGTGATTCTTTCTATATACATGTTTTCCCAGTAGTGCACCTACTTTGATTTTATTGTTAACTTGGCATCGACAATGTATAATGTAGAATTATACTGTGCTTCATTGTTTATATTTATGAAATGGCCCTGCCAAAGTACATTTAGAGACCACAGGTCTCTGGGATAGTGCCTTCAACATTCTGAAAATCAAAATAGTTGTCTGAAGTTTATTTTTTCATTCTCTTTAATTTTTCTGAGGTCAAGCAAATCCACCTCCACCTATCATCTGGATGCCACCACAACCTGAGATCCCCAAGTGCCCTCCTGGATTAGAATATTTCAGCCAGGTATATCCCTCTTATTTTCAGTTTATCCTACTACCCTATTTATAGATAAGCATGGGAACCCACAAATATGGCTGCCTTAGTCATCATGGCAAATGTTACATTAATTTTGGCACTAGGTAGCATATTCACTCTGAAAGAGTTCTCTCCATCAAGCATTGCTGCTCTGCTATTTTCACTTTTAAAAAATATTTTTTTCTATAAAATTGCCAAAATACTCCCCTTGAAACATTAAGCCTACCAATCCCAATCCTCTTAAGTTTCAAGCAATATTTTTATAGATACTGATGGATTTTCTGAATATCATATCTGTCCAGACTACAACAAATTTGGGCTTGGCAGATCATGGCATTTCACTTTAAAAGAAATCAGTGATGGATTCATTTTATATTGCTATTTGTTATTTTTGTACCACTGGGCAATATAAATAAATAATATGCCAGGGAATTAATATCCCTATGTGTGTTCAGTTGGACCTTGGAAAACACAAGAGGGGCAGGAGACAAGAAGAATGCTGAAATATTCATGATTTTTTTAACACATGCAACTTTGGCTGAAGAGTCAAGACACTTTCCAGTGTATGGGTTGCCTACTCAGTTGTACAGGCAGTTGTAAAAGAAACAACTAGCAACTTAAACCTATGTGCAAGTGGAAGAGCATCTCCAGTTGAGAGCAGACCTGAGAAAAAATCTCTCATGTACATCTTTTGGCAATGGTCATTGGTAGGTTATCCCTTGGCACAGTAGTTACCCTTTAAATCTCCCACAGTGCACAGAATGACATCTGACTGAGGCACTGTGGAAAATTCAGAGGATAAGTTAAATTATGTTCAGGCCAAGCACTGGAAGTGGGTCCAATCAGGGTACTGAGATCCTACTATTGCCCAGGGATATCAGGTGCTGATAGCAATCCAAGGCAAGTGCTAAATTCCCTCCCGTGAATACATGTAGTTTTGTGTACTTTTGATACGTACCTTCAAGAATTGTTTAAATATAACAAAACATGAAATGGCAACTAGAGACTGGATGGATGGATGGATGGATGGATGGATGGATGGGTGGGTG